AATCCACATTCTTATGCCTCCTTATAATCCTTTTACCAGAGATACATTTTACTTTTCTTATACACCTTGCACATAAACTGTTTTTTCAATAGTTTTACATTCAGGAGGCCAAGTTACTTTTAAATTATACAACATTTCTTGCATAAATTTTTTTAAGACTTTTTTTTCTTTTTCATGACTTTGCAGACAATTCTTCGACATGCCTCAACTTTCTGACTTACTACAAACATTTCTTTAACAACCAGTTAATTTATTTCAGGACAAGAATTTACCATGTAACATTCTTTTTACATAAATTCTGTCCCCCTTTTGTCCCTTTATTTTTTTTTTCCGAAGATAACCATTCTTTTCCAAAGCAAATTTCCTTTATGTCTGTTGTCTAGACTGTCTAAGGCCACAAGATTAGAAGTTACTATAATACATGTTACACTGTTAACTTTTAGCAAATTTTACTTTTGTTGAAAACCTTGTAAGTTTGGGATTTCAATTATCCTTTGCTATTAATAAGACATTGTTTAGTCCAAATTAACTTAGAATTGGTATAGATGGCTTTTTTTTCCCTTCAATTACCCAGGAGGAACCATCCATCATCCTGTCCTGAAGGGAGTTCCTCCTAGGTCTGGTTGGACCTTTACATGGTAGTTAAGATTTAGATCCCCTGTTAGGAAACCTGCTGGGTTAAGGGAATTTTCAGTGGTTAATGTTAAATCTTTTTTTTCCTTAGGATACTTCTGAACTGATGAGGTGTGCTCACAATGAGGTTTCCTCTAAAAGTTATTTTTCTACTTTCTTGTGTTAGCAAAGCAGTTGCCACTACAGATTGAATGCATTTGGGCCATCCACAGATTACTAAGTTAAGGGTTTTTTATAGGAAGGCTACAGGTTGTCAACAGCCTCAGTGCTTTTGGGCTATGCCCTTGTTTACACTTACAACAAGGTGGTATTGGAGTGTTGTAGGGTCACAGAGAAGACCTTCAATTATCAATTATAGATTTTAAATTTACCCTGGCTTTTAAATGAATAGGGTACACTGTTTTTTTCTTAACTACTTGTATATCTCTTTCTTTCTCTCTTTAACTTTCTGTCTCTTTCTCTTTGACTTTCCTTTTGCCTCTGTCTCTTTCTCACTCTCTCTCTCTGCCTCTCTCTTTCTCTCCTTGACTCCCTCTTTGTCTCTCTGTCTCTTCCTCTCTCTCTCTCTGCTGGTCTTTCCTTGCCTCTGCCAGCCGTTATGCTGCTGTTCTCTTAACCACTGTGGGTGGGTGGGGGTGGGGGGGACAGTGGGGTCTAAAACCAGCTGTAACCAAGTGTCTATGTACGGGAACCGGTCTGGGTGCCCTGGCTTATAAGTTACCTTGTGCCATACCTTTGAAACAAGGGACCTGTCCAGGCTTCCTTCTGATGGCCAATCCACCTCTAATACTGGCCAGTCTATTTCACACAAAGTTCTAAGTTTTGCTGGTGTCATAGTAACACTGTAATCTTCCTTAAATCTTTTCTTGAAATTTTTCAATAGAATTCCTAGTCGGGTGGGCTTACTTTGTGCCTGACCCATGTCTCCTTGAGACAAAACACCACGCTCACACCACACACACACTACAAAACAAAGAATCGGTAAAAAGGGCACACACACACACTTTTACAGTTTACACCAAACCAGAATCAAAACCAAAATCAGAGTATCAAGAAGTCTAAGCCAGGTCAAAACCAAAACCAAAGTATCAAGCAATCCAAGCCAGGTCAAAACCAAAACCAAAGTATCAAGCAATCCAAGACAAGTCAAAAACAAAAACCAAACTGCCAGTACAGGCACGTCATGGGTGATTGGACCACTCTTCCACTCAAATGGAGTGGGCAAGTTCCAAAGACCAGTCTTATCAAGTTTCAGATGTCCAGACTTCAAGTGCCTGCTCCTTCCCAGTGTTCAGCCACTGCTTTGATCCTCTGCTAGGGCCTACCACACGCTGCTCTGGCAAGGTGTTCCACCGGGGCAATTGCCTACCCGGGAGCGCTCTCAGGATCCACGTCAGTCAGGCTGGCTGGAGTCTCCTGCAGGGATGCTCCACAGGGGAGGCCTAAGCTGCCTAAGGGGCTGCCTTGACCATCCATTAATCACCTCGCTTCCTGGTCAGGGAACCAAGAAATGAAACAGGACAAGCCACAGACAAACCCCTCAGACACCGAGTTAAAGAAGGAAGGGCTTTATTCGGCTGAGAACTTCAGCAAGACTCACATCTCTAAAAACCGAGCTCCCCGAGTGAGCAATTTCTGTCCCTTTTAAGGGCTTACAACTCTAAGGGGGTCCCCATGAGAGGGTCATGATCTATTCAGCAAGCAGGGAGTGTGTGACTGAGGGCTGCATGCACTGGTAATCAGAACAGAATAGAACAGGACAGAGATTTTCACAGTGCTTTTCCATACAATGTCTGGAATCTACAGATAACATAACCATTTAGGTCAGCGGTCGATCTTTAACCAGGCCCAAAGTACAGCGCTGGGCTGTCTGCCTGTGGATTTCATTTCTGCCTTGTAGTTTTTACTTCTTCTTTCTTTAGAGGCAAAAATTAGGCATAAGACAATATGAGGGGTGATCTCCCCTAGACACAGAGCAAACATGGAACAGAAAGTAGGGTGGTGGTTAACAGGGGCTAGGAATAGGAAGGACAGGGGTAGTTGTTCAGCGGGTATAGAGTTTCAGTTTTGCAAGATGAAAAAGTTCTAGAGGTCTGTTACACAACAATGTGAAAAAATTAATATTAGTGGTTTATACACTAAAAAAGTGGCTAAAATAATGAATTATATGTATTTTGTACCACAATTTAAAATTTTAAAAATGAAATTTGAGAAACTGATTTAAAGAAAACATTGTTTGTTTCTTGCACACCTGCCTTTACACAGAACACACAAAAGCCCTTTTGCTCCTAGGTCAGTAGTTCTCAACATGAATGTGAGGGGATTTTGTTCTCCCTCCGTCAGGACACATCTGACAATATCTGATAATGTTTCTGGTTGTTATGTAGGGTAGGGTTGTGCTGGCATAGGCCAGGGAGTCTGCTAAGCATACTACAGTGCACAGGATAGCCACCTACTACAAAGAATTGCCCAGTCCAAAGTGGCATTAGTAGCTTATTTGAGAAACCTGTCCAAGATCATTAATCAGAATGTGTTATTGATATGTCAGTCTTCTCCCCTCTGGTTAGGTTGGTAGAGTTCAGACTCTGGAAAAAACTGGGAATGTAAAAGGCTGAATGAGTGTAAGCTGAAAGACAAGAGACAGGAGTCTTGTTTGGAGCTTACTGAAGTCAAAATGGAAAAAAAAGGAAGATTGGGGGAGGAAAGACAGTGAACAGACCACTTTTAGGTCAAATTCTTTAGGGTTCTGTACTAAGCACCTTACGTATGTTGTCTCACATAATCCTTAAAACTCAGAAATCATTTTAAGATAAATAGTACAGAGAGTAAAACAGACTGGAGAGGGAGTCTTTGCTTGGGTAGGCAACTTTAACTGGTTTATCAGCACATTTCCTGGAAGGGAAAGGGGGTGTGATTGCTCCTGAAGAGACCCAAGCTCCTTTTTAATCAAAGCTCAGGAGGAGAGCTGCATTCCACTGTTTCACAGATGCTGTGAGGGTGGCAAAGATGCAGGGCACCCACCGGAAACACAGCCGGCACTCTGTGAAAGGGGAAAGGGCACCAGGAGCGCGGGTGAGCGAGGCTGGAGGTGATTCTGCCCCTCTCCCCAGGCTTTCTGGGCGAGTCCATTCCTCCTCTCAGATTTATTGTTAGAACTTAAGACAATTCAATTACATTTCATAATGTCTGTGTCATTCAGACCCTGAGAACGAATCCAGCCTTCTAAATGGTGTTTCTTAACTCTTTTCTTCAACAGAAGAGTTAATGTGTGGAATGAAGTGCAGAACCCATGGCCCTCTGAGGTGGCGGTGATGGTTCAGGTTGTGTTTCTGGGTTCATTCTGGCAGCTCCTCCAAGGAAAGGAGGAAGGAAACTGGCAGGGTGGGGCTTTGCCATCGCCCTGGCTGGCTCTGGTTTCCTTGCCTGATACATTGAGGTCAGCTTCAAAAGAATGCCCAGTCAAGGGTTTGAAGGGCACAGTGGCTCTGTCCTCACAAAACCAGCCTGCATATGAGTTTGCTGAATTCATTTAGGTCCTGCTGAATCTTTCCCATTTGTTCCTTCTCCATTTCAATATTTCAATACTTCCCTAGAGGGGCCCAACCTTCCTGGAGGGCAAAGATCTGTTGTTAGAGAAAGAGAGCAGCCAGAGGAAGAGGACTTCAGGGTAGGCAGCAGTTGGGCAGTGAGTATTGAAAGGTTGCTTTCAGCCTGCCAAGACTTGGAGAATTAGAAAAGCAAGTCAAAACAAATGAATACACAAACTATATATATAAAACAATTTTTTTTAATTTTTATGTTCTATATTACTATTATTAGCTATATATTACTGAATGTTCCTTTAAAGCAGTATAGTCATTATTGCTATTATTATTGTTATTATTATGGTTGGTTATATACAATGGAATATTGTTATTTATCTATATTATGATTACTAGCACTATTGTTATTATTATTTACATGTTATTGAAAGCCTCAAAGCAGCATACGCTTTTTATAAATATTTTTGCTCATGTGTATGACAATTCTCCAGTGTTGGTATTGCTCCTCTATTTAACAGATTAGAAAACTGAAGCTCCTTGGCCGGGCGCGGTGGCTCAAGCCTGTAATCCCAGCACTTTGGGAGGCCGAGACGGGCGGATCACGAGGTCAGGAGATCGAGACCATCCTGGCTAACACGGTGAAACCCCGTCTCTACTAAAAATACAAGAAAATTAGCCGGGCGAGGTGGCGGGCGCCTGTAGTCCCAGCTACTCGGGAGGCTGAGGCAGGAGAATGGCGTGAACCCGGGAGGCGGAGCTTACAGTGAGCCGAGATCGCGCCACTGCACTCCAGCCTGGGGCACAGAGCAAGACTCCGTCTCAAAAAAAAAAAAAAAAAAGAAAACTGAAGCTCCAAGAACAGGCTTGCCTAATAACAGGGAACTTGTACACCTCAAAGTGGCAATTCACACAGAAGGCTCCGTGACTCCCGTACTCTCACAATTATGAGGTGGTCTTTTTCATAGTTTTTCTGAAGTTACTAGAAGTTTACAGAAAAGGAAGTGCAGGCACATTTCACAAATCTACAGTCTGTAAGTATCACATCCTGTATAGCTGTAAACACTGGAATAAGGAAGGGCTGATGACTTTCAGAAGATGAAGGTAAGTAGAAACCACTGATGGGACTGAGAACCCAGAGTTAAAACCTCTTGGGAGCTTCTGAGGACTCAGCTGAAACCAACAGCCACAGGTAGGTAATGCTGAAAGACTTTTCTCATGTCACCGTTCCCTTGCCGTGACCTCATGAGAGGAGTAATATGACTTGAAACTCCTTGACAGCAGTTAAGAGACACTAGAGCCTTTGGAAATAGAGTGGGCAGATGGAAGGAGTATCTGTTTTTAACTCTATTTCCACTGTATTCTGATTGCGTGAACTCAGTGAGTCGCTTACCTAAGATTGTGTAATTAATGGGAGTAGAGCTCTTGTCTCTTCAAATGTGTTTAGACCATTTGTAAACTGGGCAGCCTGTGGGTTGAGAATGGTGTAGTGAAAAGGGATCCAAACTGAGCTTAGCAACAAATACCACAGCCTCGGTGGTCATTATGCTAAAAAGTGGGGAGGACCGAGGATGCAAGCCTATGTGTTATGACTCCAAGACTTGTTCTCATACCACTGCATGCAGCTGCTTCTCCAGCCTGAGTAAACTCAGACGCAGGCTGGCATTGCCAGGTGGGAAAGTAGGAAGAGGTGGAATGATCTAGAGATTTATGCAAATGCTTCAGACTCCAGGAAAGCTGTGATCCAAGACTGGTTTTACAGTTTCCCAGCTGTGTGAACCAGGGTGAACAATAAGGGTAACTGCAAATATTTCTTCAGCATTAACTCTGGGCCACACATATGTGCAATATGTATATTATTTGCATTCATAACTTAAACTTTATTTTGCATTTCCTTATTTATTACATGTTTTTACTAACTAACATGCAGAGCTATTGTAAGGATTAAAAGCACTGCAGGATAAAAACTAAGAACATGTCTAGTAAAATATGATAAACATATCTAAGATGAATGCTAATAAATAGTATTATTAGACAAAAAATAAGTAAGCAGAGTTCATTTATGAGTCTGAAAATTCATCAAATATATGGCAATACAGTTGTTGTCTGTAGGACTAGGGGAAAGGGAGGTTGCCTTTGTATATTGCAAATTTTGTGTGACCCTTTGCCTCTGGACATTGGGGCCTCTCAAGATTCATGTTGCTGCCACCCTGTGATGTGTTTATTATCGATAATGGACTGTGTCAAACATTGTGGAAAAATCCTCATGAAACCAAGGTTGTATGGTTTTCACTGTTCCATATTATCAGTTTCTTTCTCTAATGGACAGGCCAAGCCTGGACTAATTGGCAAAGACCAAGTTACAGTTTTTGGAGCCAGAACCTGGGAGCTCTGTACTTTTTAAGAGGTAAATCTATTTTTTCTTCCATAGTTGGCAACACCATCATGACATCACAACCTGTTCCCAGTGAGACCATGATAGTGCTCCCATCAAATGTCATCAACTTCTCCCAAGCAGAGAAACCCGAACCCACCAACCAGGGGCAGGATAGCCTGAAGAAACGTCTACAGGCAGAAGTCAAAGTTATTGGGGTAAATCTAATTCAGAACATGTTGGAGAGGGGTTGAGGGAAGCGGGAAGAGATGATGTATGTCTTGGGACTGGTCATCTGTCCTGAGTGTGGAGACCCTTAAGTTTTGCCAGAAGGACTTTGGAGTAGAAGCCACTTGAGAAAACTGTCCCAGAACTTTTCCACAAGAGGTTGTCTTAGAAATATATTTTCCCTTATTCTGAATATGAGGAATTCATTTTCTATGTTGTCTTTGTATTTTTACAATACAGTGCTTCTCTATATTTTTTTTTTACAAAAGTAATGGTGGTAAATAATTACATATTGTGTGTGTATATATATATATATTTCACAATTGCATGCTTAATAATCCACACCGACTTTTTGCAAAGAATTTTACCCTCACTGCAAATTAGAGGAAATATACACCTCCTTTACCTCTTTTCTCCTTACTTTTTTGAGAATGGAAATGATATTCACCTTCTGTTTGCCTCTGCACTTATGTGATCTGAGGTGAGGCACTCCATTTGACTGGATTTCAGGACCTGATGGGACTGGTTTCCTTGCCTCATGTACAATCACGTGGGTTTCTGTGAGGCTCATGTGACATAAGGTCTAGAAAACTTCTTAGTAAATGATAATAGAGCTGTGAATCTCTGAGGTGGACGTCCAGGAGGGAAACTACCTCCTAAGACAGAGCTTCCGTTAGACGTGAGAACATGCAGTATTTGGTTTCTGTCCCTGTTAGTTTGCTAAGGGTGATGGCTTCTGAATGATGAGAACACACGGACACGTAGAAGGGGACAATGCACACTGGGGCCTTTCAGGGGGTGGATGATGGGAGGAGGGAGAGGATCAGGAAAAATAACCAATGGGTACTAGGCTTAATACCTGGGTGATGAAATAATCTGTACAACAAACCCCCATGACACAAGTTTACCTATGTAACAAACCTGCACTTTTACCCTTGAACTTAAAATAAAAGTAAAAAATAAAAGAGCTTCCAGAACTTCAGCTTTTGGTTTGTGAACTGCAGTTTCCAAGGAGGTGACCAGAGGGGCAAACTCCATGTCTAGTGGAGTCTCGGAGATGAGGGGAGGGACTTCTGCACCGCCAATCCTGCAGGGAATGTGGGGGCTTTCAGGTGCCCCTTGTTTTCAGGGAGGTAGAAAGCCAGTTAACTAGTCAGGGACTCAGAAGTCCTGAGAACTGGGAAAGGAAATCCCAGCACTTGTTGTGAGCTGGAAGCAGGAGCCATGAGCAGACCAGGACCTGAGAGGCAGAAATGCAGACGCCTTCCTGAGCACCTGCCAGACCCCGAGACTGTGGCTTCTGTGGCAGAGCCGCACACCCTCCAGGGTGTCTTTTCATGTTTCTCACTCCAGTTTCCACAGGGTTTGTATCTTCACTGGGATCTCGCAGAAAGTGATAATGCATTAGAGCCATGGGAGAGGCAAAAAGGCCCTGTCTTTACAAATGCTGGTTTTCATCCCCAGTCTCCCTTTCTCTTCCCACAGACTATCCAGATCTTGTGTGGCGTGATGGTGTTGAGCTTGGGAATCATGTTGGCATCTGCTTCCTTCTCTCCAAATTTTACCCAAGTGACTTCTACACTGTTGAACTCTGCTTACCCATTCATAGGACCCTTTTTTGTGAGTAGAGTTTCTGAGGAGGGCAGGATGGGGCGAAGACGGGAGGAAGATGCCAATAGCTTAGACTTTCCACCTGCCACCTTGCTATGTTTGATCTGCCAGGAGCAAGGAGTCAACAGTGAAGCTTGTTCTCCTGTGTGTGTAGTTCAGGGAGGATTGAGTACAGCAGGATGACAGGGGTTGCCTGATTTTAGATCAATTTCTTATCAGACACAAATAAGCATTTCTTTTTAAGATTATCATATTTTTCAGATTATCATCTTGAGCTATGATGAAGCTAGTGACTTCTCTCCAGGTTTAGGCAAAAAAAAAAAAAAAATCCATGAATTACAATAAAGTTGGGAAGGAACATTTTATACAAAAAAAAATGAGCATCAATGGAAGACATCATACACTCACAGAGAAACCACACTGTGATCCCCCCATGCTTGTGGGGATCATGGAGGAAGGAAACTTACATCTCTGAACATTTTGAAAATACTTTTACTGCATTGACTGATTCCCGCGTAAGGCTGAGCCGATAGCTATGCCCAGTGATTGACAGGAAATTCCTCTGAAATAGCTGCAAGTCTGGAGTTTCAAAAGAACTTAGTCTTTTTCTCAGAGAACTGCTTTCTCTTAGATGGAGGCTTTCTCATAGTTAAGCTTCCCTTTCATAGATGTTTTTTCCTTCAACTTCCTGCAATTTGGTTGCTATTTGTTTTTCTTACATTTGTATATTTGATGCACCAAGAAGTCCACCTTTTTGTGTATCTTGTCCATTTTTCTTCTCTTATTAACTAAAGTTACACTTGGATTTGGACTTCATTGGTTTTCCCCAAATGACCTTTTTCTGTTCCAAGATCCATGCCAGGCTACTGTATTACACTACATTACATTTTGTCATGATGTCTCCTCAGGCTCCTCTAGGCTGTCTCAGATTTTCCTTTTCCTTGAGGACTCTGATAGTTTTGGCTAGTGCTGGCTGAGATTTTTATAGAATGTTCCTAAATTTGGGTTTATCGGTTTTTTTTTTTTTTTTTTTTTTGATGTTTAGAGTGTGGTGATGAATTTTTGGGTGATGATGACAAGGTAAAGCACCATTTTCATCAAGTCGTATCAAGGATCATGCTACCAATATAATGTCACTGACACAATTAATGTTGATCATGTGTTTGGGGTAGTATTTTCCAGGTTTCTCCTCTGTTAAATTAGTACTTTTTTTTTTTTTTTTAACCATTGCGTTCATGTCCTTCCCTAGAGAACATCTTACACCAAAACTGTCTTATTTTGTTAAAAAAACACAACTTCTTTCCTGGCTTTTAAGGTCTTTTTTTTGTTTAGTGGGATACTTTTTGTTTATTAGGATATATTTCTGTTATCTTTTTTTTCTGATGCTATCTGAATGTTATATGGACAAAGGGACAAATATATGTCTTTAAATGGAACTTACCTCATTGATCACTGGTTTCTCAAGGCTTTTCCCATGACCGTTTTCTATAAACATTTTGATAGTGACATTGCAGTTACTCTGTACATGGAAAGTCACCTGACCATTTTCTCTTTTATCTTAGTTTATCATTTCTGGCTCTCTATCAATTGCCACAGAGAAAAAGTTAACCAAGCTTTTGGTGAGTATAAGAACTGTAACCCACAACCCAATGGATCAAAATAAAACTTAGACAGAACTCGTTAAGGCCAGTCTTTCTACTTTGAAAAGTTGAAAACTCAGTTCCAGAGCAGACAGTTGTTAGAGTTAGGAGCCGGGCCTGGATCCTCTGTATCCTTGTTCAGAGCACATTTATCCAATTATTGTACCCTACATCAAAGTCTGCATTCAGAGAATTACAATATTCCCTCTGCCCATGACGAAGAATCTATCACAGAGAAATTGTGCCTGTTTATGATGTCCTTTCGGTGACAATTAGCCTTCAAATTCAGGTTTTCAGTGGCAAGGAAGCTGACAGTGTTATAAAGAGGTCTATTGGTTGGGGTCCACTCTTTAAGCCCAGGTGTTACAACCCTTGAAAAACAATGAGTCAAAGTTTTGTTCATGTGAGGTATCCAAAGTAGACACAGAGGCTGCTATAATATACTACATTACATTTAGGCATGATGTCTCCTCAGGTTTCTTTAGACTGTCTCAGATTTTCCTTCTCCCTGAGGACTTCAGGCGTTTTGGGTAGTGCTGGCTGAGTGTAGTCTTTCATCTATCTCACCAGAAGAATAATACTTTTATTTTGTTTGAGTATAAATTCTTGCACCCTAAAAAGTTGTCCCTAGTCATTTGTGTTGGCTAAGAAAAGAAAATAAAAAGCTTTACCAGTCTTTAACCCTTATTCCAGCAAAAACTAGAGTTGGAAGTGGCAAGGAGATAAAGGCTGGATTATAGGGAGAATCTTCTCTTGTCTCTAAAGTTTCGTTAAGTCTTTACTCAATCCATTATCCCTCAAGGGGCTGATGTGAGAGAACGTCATATGATGCAATTGCACCAAAACTCAATTTAAAAGCTCTGGCTACAAAAATCTCCCAAAGTCAGCAAGGAAGTGAGAAAGAGTGCCCAGAAAAATGCCAATTCTTTTTCTCATCAGTATTTAGAGATTATTATTTGGACCCCGCAGTTAGACTCTGAACTACTAACTAGATCTGTGCTGTTTAATTTAACTTTCTATGATGATGGAAATGCAATGTAACTTTCTATGATGATGGAAATGCACTACAGCTGCACTGTACAACATAGCAGTCACATGGGGCTGTCGATGATGTGAAATACAAATGGTGCAACCGAATAAAAATTTCTCTTAATTTTACTTTAAATATAGATAGTCCATGTGGCTATTGGCAACCACACTGAGTAGCCTGGCACAAACTTTTAGTGCTTTCAAACTTTCAGGAGGAAATAGATGGGCCTTTTACTCCAGAGAACAATCCCACAGTGAACATGCAGGAAGCTCAAGGATGCAGGATGTGGTCTCGGGGTGGGCTCACACTCACCAGAAACATTGAGGCTTTAGTGAGTTCTGCTCTTGTCACACATTGTACCAGCCCTTTTTGAGACTGAAGAAGAGTGCCATCTCGAGACAAATCTAGCTTATTCTAAGAAATATATACTCTAGGCATCAAGACTACTACTGGCTACCAGGAGGCCCAGGAGTATACCCTTTAGTCATTATGTTGGGAAATTGGGGTCCCAGAGCATCAACTGGTGAGTTTCTAAAAAAAGAAGTGCCCATGTGGGATTAAGTAACCCTTTACTGTACAGCTGTGGGGTGTGCCCTGGAGCCTACCTACCTGTAACTATAGCTTTCAGAATGCTCTTAGCTCAATTCTCTTTTCTGTGTGAGTTGGAGTAAAGGAAGTCACTTCTGAGGTCAGTTTATTTACTCCCTTCACTTCATAAATGTAGAAATGAGAACCAGAGTGGGAAAGGAACTGATTACCCAAGGGAGTAAGCCAAGGCAAGTCTAGTACTGTGACCTCAATATTCTGACCTCCAGTTCAGACCTTTTTCTTATACCTCCCACTGCCTCCCACACATTACACCATCCTTGGGCTGCACCTAGACCTCTGCCCACAGTCACCCCATGCTGCGCTCAGTGTGGCCAACTGTATGCCTGCCCAGGTTCCAGGGCCTGCCTGAGACTAAGAACTACCCCCCTCACTCATCTCTGAGAGGTGTGCTTTTGAGAGAGGCAATGGGCATGCAAGAGTGAACTATTAGGTTGGTGCAAACATAATTGTGGCTTTACAGCAAAAATCGCAATTACTTTTGCATCATGCTAATACATGATCTGCCTTTTCCGTGTAGCTGATGCTTCCACCAGGGGTTTTTGAGTTGAGTGAGAGAGAAACTGCATCTAGTTCATTGCCACCTTTGCTTTGGGTCACGCTCTCTTGGTAATGTTGCAGGGAAAGCCTCATGAAGGCCCTGCTATCTGTCCTGGGGAAAGAATTTAGGAGAGTAACATTCTCTACCACACCACTGAGATCCTGCTTAAGGGGAACCAGTTCATATGTTCATTCGTTCAGCCAAGATGTACCTCGGAGATCGAGAGATTTTTGCTGTACACTGGAGAGGTATACAGCAATAAATGATTAATCCCAGACCTCCTGAGGGGACAGATAAGGGAATAACTTACAATTTAATGGCAAAGACATATAAGAGATTCATAGGTCATTAGCAATGATCCTTACCTAGCATTTTTCTTTCAGGTGCATAGCAGCCTGGTTGGAAGCATTCTGAGTGCTCTCTCTGCCCTGGTGGGTTTCATTATCCTGTCTGTCGAACTGGCTGCCTTAAATCCTGCTTCCCTGCAGTGTGAGTTGGACAAAAATAATATACCAACCAGAAGTTACGTTTCTTACTATTATCACGATTCACTTTATACCATGGACTGCTATACAGTCAAAGCCAGTCTGGCTGTAAGTATTTTAGATGGGATGTTCTAATTTTATGAAGTATTCAAAAGCCTGGATTTCTTGTTATTCCTTCTTTTGAAAATCTCTCTATTGGTTCTGGTTTGGGCATCTGGGGGAAGGTCAGGATTATGTAAATCAAAGGGGACTACATGGATGAGACTAAGGCGATTACATAGTAATAGGGTGGAATTGAAAATGTTAAATAAGGTTGATGATGAAAAAATAAAACTTATTGTTTGTAGAGGTTCTTAATTATTAAACTAATCCAATTTTGGAAGCATAAATTATGAGTTTATCAAACTGAGAATTTTGGTACATGGAGTGGTGAATTAAGAATGGAAACAGAGCAGAAAGTCCAGGAGATCAGAATATGCCAACAAGGAAACCCAGTATGTGTGTGTGGTAAGGAGTGAATTTGGTTTGAGAAGACATCAGATTCAGTACTAAGAAAAAGAGAATAGGAAATATGGGGATAGAAGATAAGGGCTGCTTCTTCTGATATCACAATAATGAATACTACTGATCAGGTGAGAATGCAATATTATTGTTGCTTTTTGTTATAGCTGAAAGAAGTATGATATATTAAATCAGGAGATAAGAAATACAGGGAGATGGAGAGTGTAATTGAGAATGATTGCGGGAGAATTCTATCTCTTTGGAAGAAGAAAAACAACGAAGTTTGGCTAACAGAAATAATATGTCTGCAGTTGAAAGATTAAGGGGCATGTGCACAGTCAGCAACACATTGAGAAAAAAACAGACAACATAAGAGTAAAGAGATGGCTGGGCGCAGTGGCTCATGCCTGTAATACCAGCACTTTGGGAGGCCATGGTGCATGGATCACGAGGTCAGGTGTTCAAGACAAGCCTGGCCAAGATGGTGAAACCCTGCCTCTACTAAAAATACAAAAATCAGCCGGGCGTGGTGGCGGGCACCTGTAATCCCAGCTACTTGGGAGGCTGAGGCAGAGAATTGCTTGAGCCTGGGAGGCAGAGGTTGCAGTGAACTGAGATCGTGCCACTGCACTCCAGCCTGGGTGACAGAGCGAGAATCCATGTCAAAAAAAAAAAAAAAAAAAAAGAGTAAAGAGATTGCAGTATATTTGCTGTCCTGCAATCATAAAAATGAGATAAGCCAGGAGCTCAACTGGAAGATGGACAGATAGAAAGGTCTGAAGAAAGTCATGTTTGTACAGCACTCACTATGAAGAGGGCCTTGCTCCCAAGGTAACGGTATAATGAGAAAAAGTACAAGTAAATCAGGCTGACAGTAAATAGTACAGATTAACACTGGGCGCAGCCAATTCCACCTTGGGAAAAATTCTGAAGAGAAATTTCAGAGAAATTTGTTAGTGAAAAAGTATAAATTCATGATACATTGGAAATAAGAGAGATTCTGTTGAGCTTGCTTGCTGGAACAATTTCTAGGTAAAGGAAAAAAGTTATATTTATATCTTCTCTTTAACTGTATGTAAATATCACAAACCAAAAGTTCATGTGATCAAATTATCTCCCTTTATTATCAGATGGTCAGTTCTGCACAAAGAATGTCTCAAGACAGAAATGGTAGAACCCCTCCTTGTGAGTTGCTAGTGGTGATTAGCAATTCTGGCAGTTTACGACCTTCATGGATTTTTTCTAAGCCTTCCAGCCACACACAAAAAGGCACAAACATAAAAAACAACAAAGAAACCACAAGAAAGATCAAGAAGAAATCCAAAGGGGTTCAAATACATAGACAGGGATGTCAATACTGAATTTTACAAAGGACTTGCACAGTCAAAGCCTCCTTGATCCTTACAAATCTCTGAGAAAGAAATGTTAGTAGGCATGTTTGATACATGAGGAAACAGAGAAAGAGAGAGACTTGTCCAAGCTTACACAGCTACTAAGCAGTAAAGGTGAGACTGGAACGGAGCTGCTGATTCTCAGTCCTGGGAGTTATTACACCACTCTGCTTTCTTGCCAAGTAAACAATGTCATCAGAACTATCGATGTCTCCGAGAAGTAAGAAATAAGTGTATGAAGTAGATTAGTTGATTTAGTTGCTATTCATCTCCCTTTCTCCTCTCAAGGAAATGAATGAGTTAAGGGGTTGAATTAAGACAATTGTGAGGTGTGGGAGGAGCAGTTTTATTTTCCTGATGGTGTCCTTTCTTTGTTCTCTAATGGTTGAGGAGGTCTTCATCTCTATGGTCACCTCTCAACTAGGCATGAAGGCTTCAGCTGACCTAAGCACCACCAATCTTTTATTTCCTGACTTTCAGGGACCTCTGTCTCTGATGCTGATTTGCACTCTGCTGGAATTCTGCCTAGCTGTGCTCACTGCTGTGCTGTGGTGGAAACAGGCTTACTCTGACTTCCCTGGGGTGAGTGTGCTGGCCAGCCTCTCTTAATCTTGCCTGGTGTATCTTATCTCTGCACTGTGTTGAGCTATGTCACCAAGAATGACAGAAGGAACAACCAGCCAGACATGAGATACACATGGGAGGGCGTTTTCATGGTGATGGAAGACAGAGAAGAAAAGCAGATGGCAATTGAGTAGCTGACAAGCTGAGAGTTCACTGGATATGAAAATAGTTCAAATGAGAAATCAACTGGTTCAATCTTCCCATTTTGTCAATGAAGGGAATGAGACTCTGGGAAGTTAAATGACTCACCTGGCATTATGCTATGAGTTTGTGCCTGTGCTGAGGACACTAGAACCGGGCTTGCCTCCCTTCTAAGCAGAAACAATTTCTGCCACAACCACTGATCTCTCTAATAGTATTGACTTGGTAAAGGGCATTTACACATGTAACTGGATCCAGTGAATGTCTTATGCTCTGCTTTTGCTCCTGGTGATTTTAAATTCTTTTTCCTTTTTAAAAGACATATTAAAAATGTACTGTTGAATCAAATTCCAAGGGATACCGCCCCTATGGACTTATGGCTTTATTTAACTGTATTAAAAAGCCTTGATTTATCCAAAATTGTATTATAGAGTGTAGAATGAATACTAGATTGATAAGTTGCAATTATTTGAAGAACCTGGTGATATGCTCTACTTATCTTGGATTAGCTAAGAACTATGTATACAGTTGGAAAAATGGCATATATACATCTGTCTTGAACCTAATTGAAGTCTGAAGACCTAACATACTTTGTTTCTTCTAGAGTGTGCTTTTCCTGCCTCACAGTTACATCGATAATTCTGGTATGTCCTCAAAGATGACTCATGGCCCTGGATATGAAGAACTATTGACTTCTTAAGAAAAAAGGGAGAAATATTAATCAGAAAGTTGATTCTTATGATAATACGGAAAAGTTAACCGTTATAAAAAAGCAAAGCTTGAGTTTCCTAAATGTAAGCCTTTAAAGTAATGAACATTAAAACCAAACATTATTTCACTGTCATTTAAGATATGTGTTCATTGGGGAATCTCTTGATTTGCCTGACATTGACTTCAGCAAAAGCAAAGAGCTGTAAATTACCATTTACTAGACTAGCCAAATAGTCTGAATTTCCAGAAAACTAGGCAGAATGATCATTCAATGGATCACAGTGAAGCAAAGGGCACAACCTTTTATTTTACCCCTTAATTGTCAACAGTCAACAGGAGTTAACTGACTTCTTGTGGTGCTCAGACTCTTTTATACTGGTGCCAATGTTTTATCCCATGGATTTTACTCATTAGTGTGTAAAGGCAAGCCCCATACAATGAAGTCTCAGGGTCCATGAAAGTAGCTGGCTTCAAAATAAAATCTTTGAGTGCATATTTTGTTTTGATACTTATTTTGTTGTTTTTTCCTTTAAACACAGAACAAGTCAACAATGACAGGAATAAACCCAAATTTGAACTCCATTTTCTCCCCCCCAAATATTCAAGCAAAACTAATGAGCAAACAAAAGCTAACCAGGAATACTTATTTGTTATGAAGCAAAGACCTGTTGATACTTATTTTCTTATTGTAAGAAAGACCAATTGTGTAGAAATGTTAAGTCTCAGCATGTGTGCGCACACATACACACACACACACACGTAGAAAAGTATTTCAATTTTACATGAGCTCCATTTCGTTGAAAGAACTGGTCATGTTTCTCTTGCTTTTACCCACTGTAGCAGGGGTCATACCCACTGTATCAGATATCCTGATACTCAGACAGCTTTTCTGCTGTTTTTTTCCCAGTCTGAAACTGGACTGTCAGATTCTTTGATTTTAGCTTTATCTTCAAACTCTCGTTCATTATATCTTCTCCTTGTCCATTGCACCCCCCACTGACACACACCATTTCTTTTGTTTTTTTTTTTGTTTTGTTTTGTTTTTTTGTTTTTTTGTTTTTTGTTTTTTTTTGTGAGACTGAGTCTGGCTTTGTCGCCCAGGCTGGAGTGCAGTGGCCGGATCTCAGCTCACTGCAAGCTCCGCCTCCCGGGTTTACGCCATTCTCCTGCCTCAGCCTCCGGAGTAGCTGGGACCACAGGCGCCCGCCACCTCGCCCGGCTAGTTTTTTTGTATTTTTTGGTAGAGACGGGGTTTCACCATGTTAGCCAGGATGGTCTCGATCTCCTGACCTTGTGATCCGCCCGTCTCAGCCTCCCAAAGTGCTGGGATTACAGGCTTGAGCCACCGCGCCCAGCTTCTTTTGTTTATTTACCTATTGTGGACATTCAGCTTTTATTGACACTTATTGGATACAAGACACTATGTCAAATAAGAGAAACAGAGATGACAATGAAATTAGGGATGTATACCGGGCACTAATTATTATTTGAACACAGAATAAAGCAAACTTCTTCTGCCTAAAAGAATGTAGGGGATAAACAGGTGTGTGTGTGTGTGTGTGTGAGAGAGAGAGAGAGTCCTTCCTTTGAAAATCCACCTCCCCCATATCAATCACATGGTGCCACCTTCTGCCACAGGAGAGGACTATAACCCAGAGTCCACAATTGGTGTATTCATCTACTGTATTCACACTCCAGCTTTGTTCCTCACCCCCTGCCACCATGTCTTCACCACCACCACAGGACTCTGGATACCAGAAGTCTTACTGATTACCCAGTCAAACTTCTGGTCTTCAAAGTTCCCCCTGGGTCTCTCTTCAGCTTTGACTTGTTTATCAGAAAAGGCATCCAGTCCTTTAGGCAACACTCAAAACCACTTTTTATCCTAGGCTCAGCCTCACTGCTATGTCAGTCACTGATATCTTTTCTTTCAAGTAGCAATGCCCCTTTAGCCCAAGTCAAGTAAGAATGATGCCTACCTTGAGACAGAAGATGTATTGAGATAACCTTTGTAAAGCAGTTACCATTATAGCAGACACATGAAAGATGCTCAGTGAACTTGAGTTTTATTGTGTGTTTACTTCCCTTTGCTTTTCACTTCCATAGTCCAACTTTCTTTCCCTTTCACTCCCATTCTCTATGTCTAAAATTAACTTCAACCCCAATACATCACTGGGATTTGGAACCTAATTATACTCATCAAATCTTTCATTTCTTCAAGAAAGTCTGGGACAGGCACAGTGGCTCATGCCTGTAACCCCAGCACTTTGGGAGATTGAGGCGGGCAGATTGCTTGAGTCCAGGAGTTTGAGACGAGCCTGGGGACCATGACCAAACCCTAAATCTACAAAAAGAAAAAAAATCAGCCAGGTGTGGTGACACATGCCTGTAGTCCCAGCTACTCAAGAGGCTGAGGCAGGAAAATCACCTGAAACTGAGAGGTTGAGGCTCATTGAGCCATGATCTTGCCACTGCACTCTAGCCTGGTGGACGGAGCGAGACCTTGAAAAAAAAAAAAAGAAAGGAAAAAAAGAGAGAAAGTTGTAGAATGCTCTAAATAAGGTAACTCAGACTGTGTAGGAAACATGTTTTCTCTTCCCTTTGCAGGAGAAAGATTTTAGAATTATTGGCCTTTCCCAATTTCTGTACAATTGACTCTACTGACACCTTGTGGTGATAATGAGGAACAACTTTCCTCCCAAGAGAAATAGAAAAAGGCAAACCAAGGTATCTAGAATTCACTGGAGGTAGCTAATTTGACCATAGGAAATCACACTTGCCACCTTTGTCCTTTACAGTGTCTCCACATGTCATCAGTGAGGAGAAACTATGCATTTTTCAAAAATTCTTTATTATTATAAGGAAAGTGGCTGTGCTTAAGTCACGAGTAGGCCAAGGTAGACATCCATTATGGTATGACACAGCAGGTTTGGAGCGCAGGTGCACAACCCCATGCATTATGTAGCTGTTTAATATAACCTGTTTGTGTGAGCTCATACCTGGCTTTGAGCCACTATGTCAGTGACTAATTTAACTGCACTGCTGACCCTGTATGACAGGAGAGAGAATAAAGCCATGTCCCAAATGCCTACAATCCAAGTGTTCTTTCAGCTACCCACCACCTGTCCACCACCTCCCCTCAGAACCCAGCTGAGGTTGGAACCTGTCAATTGGCATAGTCGGTAGGATCCCAAGATGAATGAGCCCTCAGCCTCAATGATCCCAGGTCAGCCATGTAGCCCCAGCATGGGTTGTGGTACCTGGTGGCAGTCGTGCTGTTAGGATGGGCCTTGGAGGAAACATTGACGGTGGTGGACAGGTCCCCTGTGAGCATGGAGAAGGCACTGAAGTACCTGGAAGCACAGAGCAATCAGAGGACAATGCCTTTGCTGGCAGAGTTCAATGGGTGTTTTTGACTGTACTATGGTAAGTGCACACTCAGTCCCTGCAGGGTGCAGCAAAGGTAGGGAACCTCCAGGCACAAACAGAACACCTGGAGGCCCAGATACACAGCTTGGAATGAGAATTAGAGGCTGCCATTACTGTGGGCTTGGGCCCACCATCGTGGTCAGAGACGCCTGCTCAGTCTGATACTGAGGAAGAAGAATGTCAGTTGCAGGTTTGCCCAGTGGTCCATCAGAAAATAGAGCAGGAACAGCCATTGGGGTCCCAGGGTTGGGCTCGGGGACCCCCTACCATGACAGAGCAGATGTCATATGGTGCCTATACCCCAATTATGTTGTGGGAATTAGATAAACAGTGTCAGCAGCACTCGGGGGAACCTCTACCTGCCTGGATGCCTCATCTCTGGGATGAGGGAGCCAACAGCATCATCTGCTCTGCCTCTGAAATGGAAAAATTGGCCTCCATTACGACTCATCCCTCCCTCCATCAGTGATTGCAGGTGATCAGGCAGTTAACACAAGGCAAGGCGACCACACCCTAATTGAATGGCTGATGGTGGCCATTTGAATGGTATGCGAAGATGCCAAAGAAATACCAGAAACTCTGAGTAAATGGCAGTCATAGCTAGATTTAGTGTAAGTAATTGAGGAGATGGGTTCAGGAGATGGGTTCAGGGTTCAGAATCTGGGTTCAAGACTCCATGGTGAACTCCAGCTACTCGGGATGCTGAGGCAGGAGAATTGCTTGAACCTGTGAGGTGGAGGTTGCAGTAAGCAAAGATCATGCCATTGCACTCCAGCCCGGGTGACAAGGTGAGACTCTATCTCAAAAAGAAAAAAGAAAAAAGAAAAAAAATTAAATATCCATGCTTAACCTCACTCTGATGTGTCTGCCTCCTAGCTTTCCCTGTCATGGGACAACGAACCTTGGGAATTACCCCAGACAATGATGCTACTACATTATGCTGGCCAAAAAGGTTATGGGAGGGGAGAGAAGAGGAATTGTATTGAGGATATTACTAGGAAGAATAAAAGGATCCCTGCGAACAGATTAACTTTTAAATAGTTCTCTTTGACAGTGAAAGGGTCTATTCAGGTGTTGTTACATTCTTGGTCTTACAGAAAGGCAAAGAAAAAAACCAACTATTCTTCTTGGTGGGTCTGGAATTTAGGCAGATAAAGGCACTTCAACTTCTTTGGGAGAGATGGTGGAAGCCCAGGGAAGGTCGGAGAGACCTTGAGCCTTCTTCAGTTCAGCATGTTAAAGTGCCACAATTTGAATTATTGGCTTCTGAGCTCCAACATTAACCAGAAAATCAGATTTTATTCAGTGAGCTCTAAACACCCTAAGAGCCATTAGAGAGGCAGTTAAGTATTCATGCTTCTGGAATCATACTGTAAAACACAAATCTTGATCTATAGCAAGGTCTTACAGTCTTTGAGGAAGGAAGTGTCAGCGGACAAGTCTTTCAAAATGTTTTATAATTCATTTATATTATATATTTTTCTTGTTGGTACCAGTGTGATAATGGCAAAAACAACGTAGACACTCCATTCAGAGGTGCTAGATTTTAAATTTTAGCTGTAATACTTATTAAAGAAATCATCTTTGGATTTTTTTTTTTTATAGTTTTTAAGAATGAAACTCCCTTTGCAAAGACTATGACAGTGAGAGAAGTTTAGCATGGCTTATTTCTTCTTGCTTTTAAACTCAAACATTGGCTGTCCTTGGTCATTTCTGGGTGTAGGCCAAGCTAACCATGGGAGAAATTAGGTCATAGTTTAACTTTGGAGCAAGAATGGTAACAGTGCCTCTGCAAAACAAATCTCCTTGCTCAGAGACAAAACTGCCTTTGTAAAACTAATGAAAGATTAGGATTATGGGAGAGGCCTGACTTCTGCTAAAATGTAGGCAGACCTAGATAATAACCAGCCATTGTTCCAGAGGTCACAAGATTTGTAACTTCCACAATTTCTCCTATAGATAACATCAGTATTGTAGAACCTAAGATGGGTCTTTTGAGATGTTTTTCAGACTTTTGCGTTCTGATAACCTACTAACTCCACCTGGACTCATGGCTCATGACTC